TTCGGACTATTGTCCTCATCTTTGTTGCCATATTTATCACAACGTTTCGGCTGCTGTACGCTCCGACCTTATACAGGTGGTTGTAACGTCGAACTGAACCCTTTAGTTTGCTCGCTGGGGTAAACTGTTCTAGTTTTTACTTCCACATGCCATGTCTAATGGATGTCAGTTATCAGTTATCTCCTGTTAATTCTCCTCTTCAAGTTCTCCACTACCTTTAACCAGGTATTGAATTCTTGCTGTTATCATTGCATTTTCTTTTTTTACCAGAGTTCATATTGCAATTTCCGTTGTTATTATCGCTTTTTCCTGGCACTCCTTATTACTGGTTCCCATATTGTATTCATTTCTATGCTTGATCGGCTCAGGAGATTTTTGTGGCCTAGCATATGTGCTGATTCCTTAAGTTTGCGAATTTTCTAATGATCTGAACTTGATCCTACAGAGGGCGTCGATCTCCCTTTCCTCTCCATATAACATGGCACGTGGAACTAGAAATGTATACCCCAGTGAGCGAAATAAAGGGTTTAGTTCGACATTCCAACCATATGTGGATAAATATCGCAACAAAGATGAGGACAATACATAACACCTCATCTCAGAAATATAGACGGATAGTTTTTGTACTATTATAATATTACTTTCAGATAATCAAATATAGAACGCTTTTAGTACACATCAAACTTACTTAAACTGCGTACTCAAATAAGTGTACCCATTAAAAATAACGTCTCTAACAATAAATATTATCAGATTAGAATAAATCCGTTACTTTTTTTAATCATTATCACCTTATGCAAGGCAGTAAAGCCATTAAGACACGCGGGGTTACAGAGTGGGAAAGACTTAGGAACAAAAACGTTAATGATGAGCGGTAAGAGAAAACAGTAATGAGGAGACGAGTAGATATCGATTGACATTGCATTTAAATTTTTGCAGATTAAAGTTTGCTATAAACACGGAGCCGGTAGGGAGTTCCACAAGCGCGAATTTATTTACAAATTATGCGTCTGTATGTAATTAGCGTCACGTGGCTAAAATGACTTTTCAAAGGCATTTCAACACATGCGCGCCTAGATTGAATCTAATTTTATTGATAGTGGGTTGTTGTCGTTTGATATAAAGGAAAACACACACACTTCGGCACCCTCTCCAGTTTCATGTCATTATCGTCAAAACATTTAAATCTCACTCGTTCATAATTCATTTAAGTCCTGCTGTCACCAGTGGAAAATGCCTATTGATTTATGAGATTCCTGACATCATTAAAAGGATAAAATCATTAACTCGTCCTCTCAAAGGGATGCGTATAACATCTATGTGCAAGTGTGCCTCCAGAACGTGGGCGATCATGGCTCTCCACAACTTTCTTTTGTAGCTCTTAGAAATATGTCCTTTTTACTATAACTATCACACTTTATTCTGCCAACCGTTTACGCATGCTCGTTAGGTAGGTTTTAGGTTATTTTTCTCTGTCTCACCACCGACCCTTTTGTTTTCTCGTTATACAGTGGCAAGAGTGGGAGGGTCAGCTCCGGCGACACTTTTATAGGGACCGCACTTTTGGGTCTTCTCTATAAGCCTTAATATGTCGTATTGAAATGAAAGTGGTTTTAATGTCGGGACACTACTTGAATTTGAAGAACCTTTTCGATTTCGATTAACTTGAACTATGACATATGTATTCAAGTGATTGTTATCTTGGTCGAACATTAAACAGCTATTCAAGACATCGGATGTGATGTATTGAGTAAATACAACCCTCATTATCTCCCTTACCTCATTCCCTTATTAACCAATCAGAATGTCAATAAAGATTCGCTGCAGGTCAGTTGTCCCCACTTCATAATGGCGCCCTGTTGATTCAAATGTTAATTGTGTTCGACTTATTTCTTTAGATGCGTACGACATCATATTACAATTTCAGTTGAACCCTCTTTACTTGATGCCCTAAGCACGTGCTTATTTTGCTTAATAGTTAATCCAGACCTGATCTGAACGCAGAAGGAACGACATATTCATTCCTTTTTGTTACTCGGTTTTAAAAAAAATGCCTTAGTAACGCTTAAAGAATGAATACTAACAATAAAGAATCTATACAAATTAGACATGTGGATGACGTTTCGATTTTACGTCATAAAAGATACTCCACTTCTAAATACATTAAAATTACTGTGTCGCCATTTTCTTGAAATAATATAAAAGTAGAGACAATGAAATAAGTAAGTGGCGGATTAAATTTTCCAGTGGATGAAACAAGGCACATGGATGGCACAATGTATAAGTTGTTAGAGAAACATTAGAAAGAAACACAAGCAAGGTAGAATTGAGCGGTTCACTGAAAAGTGTGCAGAGACCTGACACAGCGACCCAGCTAGCAAAATTGTTCAATGGAAAGTGTTCAGATGATCTACACTCCTTGAATCCATCTGTCCTAACCTTCACGGCTAAAACCCACCATGTCCTACACATTTTAGCCTCATTCTCGTCATATTCCTTTGGTGAGATCCGCATCTCACTCGAGCAGCTTCTTCCCACGTACCACTGCCTTGTGGAAATGACTCTCAAGGAGACGCTTCCTCGATCACTATTATCTTAACCTGTTCAAGTCTAGGGTTATCGTTATCTTCTACACATTACCATAAGCTGTGCGACTTAATCTGTAACCCTCTACTTCTAGTGACCCACGGGCGTTGTACAGGGCGAACTTCGTTGTAAAGAAAAATTTTTGTAAACTCAAAGTTTGTTTAGAGGTATATCAATTTCTTATGGGTCATTTAATACCGAAATTTAATTTTCTTGGGGGGCATTAGTAATTTTTTTTTTAATCAAAAATGTACTGGTGGCCATTTCCCCCCCCCAAAAAAAATGCATTACTGGCAATTTTTTTTGTAATGGTTAGCAAGCTTGCCTTGCTATATCTATTACGACTGAATAGTGGGTTCGATCTGGGTGCTTCACACTTTTGGCTACGCTTAGAAAAATCATAAGAGTCAGCCAAATCTCTGAGTTTGACAATACTCTTGTCAAACTCTCTGCCTTCAAGCGGGGAGGAGAGGAGAGGAGACTATGCCGGAGAGCAGAGTCTCATCTGGGGAGGTAGACAAACCAGACCCCGTTATTACGGGACCTACGTGGAATTTTTTTCTCCAGCCTACGGGCTCGGAACACACCACATAAAAAAAAGAAAAAACTTTCCTTGTGGGGAGGACTTGGGTAAATACTGAGACTTTATTGCCGTGTGGCGTTTATCTGGCTGCCTTGAGGTACGCATGCGTACGAGACGAACGCGTACTCGTTAGGTGGTAATTTTCAGCTACATCGTTTCGCAGTGTTTTAATAATATTGGGGATGATCGGTCAGCTGGGTAGTTTTTTTTTGGGGGGGTCATTAAAATAGTTGATTTCACCGTCACATAAGCCCACAACCAAAACAACTACTTTTGCAAGAACTTTCCATGTTAACTGGGAAGCATACATAAAATGAGAAAATAAATAACAAGAGAGAGGACAGTCTAATTGACATTATACATTCCATTGTTTTTTTTTACGGGTTATCAACCTTTCCTGGATTGTGGGTAAAGACGGAACAGATTTAGGATTGCAAGGATAAATTCTTTAAAAAAATTCGTTATAAACAAAAACCATGTTAAACGGCGATATCATATGTATCTTATATGACAAGGAATACTGGACAGTTTCCTTCGGTATGGAGAAGATACTCAAATCTAAAAAGACGTAGTCCTCCAGCAGGATGTTAGGAATAGCACGAACTAAACAGGTGATCAACGACGAAGTTTTAGAGAAAATGGGAACAAGAAAGAAACTCATAAAGATAGATTATATTTCTGATAATATAAGGAGGAAATGGGTCTTGGAGAATTTACCATTCACGGTAGAGCGAGGAACCAAAAGATTTTGGATTTCAAAGATAAATTCTTTTTTCTTCTGTGTGAATAATCCATGAAAAATTTCTTTTAGAATAATAATGATTTTCCCTGACACAAGTCCTACTTTTTATCCTATATGTGGGATGGGAGGAAATATATATTGCACAAAACAAAAAAGAACGCACCTAAGAGAAAAAAGATATTTCAATCAAATAATTCGTACATTGGAAAAAACTTCAACGACAACAGAAGATAGAAAACCGTAATATAGAGAAACATGGAAGAGCCTGAAATATTAAAATCTGAGTTAAAATCAGAACACACGAAAAAAGAACCAATACAAGGCAGTAGGACAAAATAGAATTTAAATAGATAAGCTGTCATCCTTAAACGATTTCGAAATAGACAAGATTACTGAAACAATAAACGAAATAGACGATATCAGCGAAATATCAGCAGATAACAGTAGATCTATCTTTATAGCAATGCCAAAGGAACAACAGTGTCTATTTAACCTGAATAGTGTAGTAACAGACAACGGACACAGAAATCCGAAGGTTTATTTTAATAGCGAAATATGGCCTTCACGAAATCAAAAGTATTAAGAAATAGGAAAATTTCGTTAGAAACCAAAAGCATGTTGAACTGCTATATCATATTTATCATGTATAGCAATGAATACTGTCCAGTTTCCTTGACATAGACACAAATCTACAGAGACGAGGACCTGCAGAAGGATGTTAAGAGTAACATGAACTAAACAGTTAATCAATGGGAAAGTTTTAGAGAAAATTGGAACACGAAAGATACTCATAAAGAGAGATTAAATTTCTAGTACACATAAGGAGGAAAGAGGGCTTGGAGAATTTAACACTCACAGTAGAACGAGGAAAGTAAAGGGTTTGTGCGATTGAATAGTAAAGCAGGGAGGAATTATGATGAAAGAGTTGAAATTGCTTAGAACTGCAAGGGAGAGGAAATTGTGGAGAGCCATGATCACCCACACCATGAAGAGAAAGGGTACATAAAAGATAAAGCTGTTGTAATTTTAATTTCTGTAGTTCCCTCCGAAAATATGGAGACCTTTGACAACGATTGACACGGTCGATTTATGGGACGGCAATCGCCACTGTCGGTTCAACTTCGTTATTCCAGTCCACTTGTAAAGGTGACAGAATTGAATGTCACATTCTTTCAGCAGTTATTGCACGTGTTTGTTTTACGTGCACATTTACTGATACGCGGACTTCTTTTACTCCGAAGGAAGGAACTCTGCGCCGGTGAGTCAAAAAAGAAGAAACGTCTTACACCCAGAAATGCTACAACCAATATTCGTCCCCTGATATGATCCCAGCTCCCTGATTGTCTCGTACTTTGAATCACAGAGCCATTTTGTTAAGCGGAATGAAGCAAGAAATACGATTTATTTTTCTATTATCAGTGTGTTATTCGGTGCAATGCTGCAAATTTTTCCGTTAACATTTTTGAACGAATATATACGAGGATAGAGATAAACGGCGAGAGGGAGAAATAAACGCGGAAAATAACAACAAACAAACTTAAAGCTATGGGATATGTTAAAAAACATCCAATTTAAGAAGCAGAAAAACATTCCCTTTGGAACCAATATGGCGGCTAAACACATTCATCGAGGGCGGCAGACATGTTGGACAGACGCGAACTTTTACGCACATGCGCAATGAGCAGAAAATCAACATGATAACACAATGATTAGAAACAGTGGTGTCAAGAGAAGTTCTTACTGCAAAATAAAATGTTTAAAAAATATGCGCTTCAGAGAAAAAAAAATGTCAGCGTAGTTGAGATAATGTTGAGATATCACTAATTGATTTTACTGGATCATAGATTTGGATCTGTGAATTTGATTTAAGTAAATTTGCTTTCTACCGGTAATGAAAGACGCAAGAATTTATGAAAAGAAGACAGAAGAGAGGCCTGAGGCAGAATTGCTGCGGCTTGCGAAAAGAAAGAAGATAAATTTCGTGTTTTAATGTGTGAAAGTAAAGAGAAAAAACAAAAGAAACAGGTGCAAATGCATGAAAGACAGTAAATTATATAAAAATAAAAAGTGGGAACTAAAGAAAAAGGAAAAGAAAAATTTGAACTAATGTATTTCAAGGTTAAAAAATGGATATGTCTTGTCTAAAACGATGAAAGACATTAGCTAAAAAAAAAGAATTTTGATAAAATTAGTATCTTGCGTGAAATTCTCAGGCGAGCCGATAAATTATTCAAACTACTATATTCCCCCTTTGATCACAGATTTACGACGTATGAACTCTTCGGCTGTCTTAGATTTGTCTTAAATCCAAAGATAAATTTTTGATAATAAACCTTCTCGAATACGCCAATTCTTTGCTTTTGTCAACGTATCATAAGGAATTGTTTTTAACCTTTCTAAGAAATGATATTCACAAGACATATTGCAGGCAAAAGAGACAGAGGAAAACAACACCTAATTTAGTAACCCTTAGTAACTATATGATGAAGTTTTAAGAAAAATAACAAAGCGACAGCATTTTCGAGAACCATGATCGCCTGCATCTTGAAGAAAGAGAAGAAGAGAGAAAGAGAAGAAGAGAGAGAAAGAGAAGAAGAGAGAGAAAGAGAAGAAGAGAGAGAAAGAGAAGAAGAGAGAGAAAGAGAAGAAGAGAGAGAAAGAGAAGAAGAGAGAGAAAGAGAAGAAGAGAGAGAAAGAGAAGAAGAGAGAAAGAGAAGAAGAGAGAGAAAGAGAAGAAGAGAGAGAAAGAGAAGAAGAGAGAGAAAGAGAAGAAGAGAGAAAGAAAGAGAAGAAAAGAGAGAAAGAGAGAGAAGAAGAGAGAGAAAGAGAAGAAGAGAGAGAAAGAGAAGAAGAGAGAGAAAGAGAAGAAGAGAGAGAAAGAGAAGAAGAGAGAGAAAGAGAAGAAAGAGAGAAAGAGAAGAAGAGAGAAAAAGAAGAGAGAAGAAGAGAGAAAGAGAAGAAGAGAGAAAGAGAAGAAGAGAGAAAGAGAAGAAGAGAGAAAGAGAAGAAGAGAGAAAGAGAAGAGAAGAAAAAGAAAAGAAATTACAAAGTTTTTAGATTAAATAATTTCTTCATAAAAGTTACTTACTATGGACAAAAATGTAACCGTATCAAGTTGTACTACACTATTTACATTATTCGAACTATTGTCCTTATCTTTGTCGCCATATTACAACGTTTCGGCCGTTGTAATAATAATGGCGACAAAGATGAGGACAACAGCCCGAATAATGTAAATAGTGTACAAAATACCTCATCTCAAAAATATAGACAGATGCTCAAGTTGTACTAGATATGTAAAAAAAAAAAAAAAAAGCGCAGGTATGTTTTTAATTTGTTTGGATGAAAGTTAAGAAATTACATCAATTCCTCGTTTAGCAGTTGTTTCAATTCCTTCTGGTCATATAATAAAAGAAGGACTGATTAAATCGAGGACACTTCCAGAGAAAACTAAAGGACAAGATATTATGGAGGAATTCAAGAAATTTATTGAACTCAGCATTTTTGGAAAATATTGTATCTGTGACAAAATGTGCTGCTTCAAGCGTAATTGTAAAAAATGCTGGATATTTTCAATTACTGAAAAAAAGAAATAAACGGCGATTCAGTTAAATCTCATTTCATTTTGCATCAAGAATCTCTACGTACAAAAACTAATTTGAAGTTACTGGCAAATGTCATGCCTCTTGTAAGGAAAACTGAATTTTTATAGCTGCTCATTCACGTAACGAACGTCAATTCACCAAAGCTATTGAATAAAGTTAACAGTCAATCTTCTGGGTTACTCATGTACAACAATATTAGATGGTTAAGCCGTGGACAAGCGTTAAATCGATTTGTGGAGTTGCTAGATGAAATAAGACTTTTCTTCAGCTAAAAAGGAAATGACTATCCAGAACTGACTGATATTAAACGGTTAAATGGTTTTACTTTCCTTACAGATTCCACACCTCATTACAATATAGTAAACCCTCGTTATATCACGGTTTCAGTGCATCGCGGATTTTTAAAAATATACAATGTAATTTAATATCATGGTTCCTCGGTACATAGCGAGTTTCTACGGCCGATCAAAATTAAGCTTTGTCTTCTTAGATTATTTCGTACATGGCACACTATTGGTCGATAGAGACACGAGGACATGCTGTTCAGTATCCTGGGCGCTGATTGGCTTAGTGACCGCAGCCTCAGTTTCCAGCATTCTAGCTTTCGTCATACCACACAGCTCAGTTATTTCAAGCCCTACGATGTCCCCCAAAAGATTTGCACCTTCTTAGACTTCTGGCAGTCAATCCAAGCGCCAGAGGAAGACGCTTACTAAAGCGGAGAAGGTGAAGCTCGTCGATATTCTTAAGGAAGTTGGCCGCCATTAGCGCATGAATGAATTCAGCGTTCACGACATCAAGAAGAATTTTTAAATGTTTAAAAAGGGTTTAAGTGTGTAGAAAGGGTTTATAAGAGTGTGCGGAGGCTTTATAAAAGCTTTAATATATAAAAATATTAAAAAATATACATTAAAATACTCTGATGAATCACTTCAGACAATCCTGTTTCTCCTTCACTAAGTCTCTTCTTCATCTTTCAGGAGATTGTCCAGTATTCTCTGTCATACAGGAGGACAGATATCCCGTAACAGTTCAGTACTCTTTTCTTTGTTGCCAACGAAACTTTTCTGCCTCTTAATACACTGCTTAGCTTTTGGAATATTTCAATTTCTGTACCTGCTTGATTTTAGTATCCCCGTCTTGTAATTTGAATTGTTGGGCTCACCCCTTTTGCTGATAATCATGCATTCGGCCTTGTAGTTTATGCTTAGTCCTTTCTTTTCGTTTTCCTTCCCTACCTTCTATAGGAGGTTTTGTAGTTTCCTTTCTGTGTCTGCTATCAGCTGAAATGTTTTCCATTATTAAAGAACTTCACTTCTTTCACCTGAAAGAGAGAGGACGTTGTGGAGAGCTATGGATGTCCCAGTCCTGAAGGAACACTGCACAATAGAATATAGGCTGAATCATGCGTAAGTAAAGTCGGCTGTTTTGCCTTGTACCTAATCACAAAACTTGCATAATGCTTGCTTTTTCTTTATGTTCGTAATGCGTTTAGTGCTAAGGTACAAGTCATTTGCAACTTTATTCAAATCTCTATCTATAAAAGGCAGGATGTGTGTGTGTGTGTGTGTGTGTAACGAATGCACGGTCGCAATTTTCGACGGATTTGCACCAAAATTTACATGCACATGCTCCAAGTTAGTGGGAAGTCCAAGACCGACTTTGCATTTCCCAACTCCCATCGATAGTGGAAATAATCGATTTTTTCATGCTTCTACGGCAGTTTTCATGTAGTTTGGGGCCATTTTGTACTGGCCAGAGTGAGAGCCTATATCTGGCTGCCACGAATACGCAGGAAGATTCTATTGGCCAGCGTTGAGAGCTAACAGCTGACTGACACGAATGTTAACTAGCATGCCAAAAAATCGATAGCTGCATTCGTCGCAAGTGGAAAAATTTAAATCTGCATGGCACTTTACTCCAATTGGCTCATTTGCTTGCTTAAACTCAACGTTGATTCTGATTCCGCAGAACTGGGTTGGGTGTGAAAAAGTATTTGTTGTTAACATTCTTTTTTCATTCGGTTCTTTTTTTTTTTTTTTAAAAAGCTGATCGTTTTGTATTCATTTTGTTTAGTTCTTTTTTCGTAACAGATTTAATGTTTAGTTTTGAGCTTAGAAAAAATTCGCAGTGTGAGATAGGCAACAAGTAAGGCATGTAGCAACATCAGCACGGCAAAGGGCACTCCTTTAAAGGCAAGGAAGGGCAAAAATATTTTAAGTCAAGTGATAGCGATTGCTGTACGAGTCGTACGATTTTTTAATCAAGCACGGGCAACGCTGGGCCATGCTGCTAGTTACTTAAATATTTGGCGAAGTTTAACAAATTTTCCAAAAATATAGTGTGTCAAAAGGATATTTTTTTCCTCTTGACTTATATACAACATCAGCAACTATTTTTTAGAAATTTAATACAACTAAATATTTATGCTTGATTTACGTCATTTCTTTCTGTCTGTTCTCAATCAATTTTAATGAATGTATGCGGTAAAAGCGAATGAAAGAAATGACAGTTACGTTTCTTGTTCTATAGTTGACAGATATTTTAATACATTTATGGAAATAAAATTTTCTTTTCAGAGTTATATTTTTATAAAATAGTAAATAATAAATATGGCATAGTAGTTGGTTCACATATCTACATAAACTTGGGCAGTTCGACGTAGTGAAGTGTTATCATGCTTGTCTCATATCAGTTACGACTTAGTTGGGGGTGGGGATTTGAGAGTATTGTAACTAAGACCAGCCAAAAAGGAGCAAAGGTCGAAGAGGATGAGAATGGTAAATTGTTGACGGACACTGAAGAGGTCCTCCATAGATAGACGCAATACTGTGTGTACAATTACCCGCTTCATCCAGATGTCTCCATATTGCAAAGTGAACAGCAATTCACAGAGGAAAACGAGAGCATTCCGTCAATACTGAAAGAAGAGGTTGCGTTGGCATTAAAGAACTTAAAACCTGGCAGGTCACCCGGAGTGGATAATATTCCCTATGAGCTGATAAAACATGGTGAAGAAAACCATCAAAGCCATGGCAACACTATGCCAGAGGATTTGGGAACAAAATGTTGCCTAACGAGTGAACTCAGTCACTGGAAATACCTCTGTCAAAGAAAGGAAGCCTAAGGCTGTGTCGAAATTATAGGACAATAAGCCTGATCAGTCATCCTAGTAAAGTCATGCTCCTTATCCCTTTGAATCGTTTGAAATCCAAGGCTGAAGAACTGCTATCAGAGGAACAAGCAGGTTTTAGAACCGGCCGAATTACAATGAAAAGGTCTTCAATTGTCGGATCCTCGTAGAGAAAAACGTGTAACACCAGAAGGACGTGTTCCACAACGTCGTGGATTTCAAGAAAACGTATGATCGTTTATGGCATGACGGTCTTTGGCAAGTCCGTAGAGAATTCACTGTAGATAACGGAATTGTCCAAGTCATCTATGCCCTATATAAAGATGTCATCAGCGCAGTTAATCTGGGAAAACAAATTGGAGGATTCTTCCGGACAAGTGTCGGCTTGCGACAAGGATGCGTACTTCAACCCGCATTGTTTAACTATATATTTCAAGAGAGAGTCATGGAAGAAAACTTGAACGGCCATGATCCTTCAATCTTTATCGTTAATTTGTTAATCAAAAATCCAAGTTCCAAATTCAGCTGGGCTTGTTATATCCCCTTAGAGAAAATGCTGCATGTTTATTTCTATATATATAAAAAAAAGACTAGATATTAGAAAAGGCGACAGGTTTCCCTCTTTCTGAATAAAAAGGGACTACGCAAATACTCTTGGGTAAAAGGTGTGGATCCACCTCTTCTCCTGCAACTATCTATATATCTATAATTCTCAAAATGTGTGTGTGTGTGTGTGTGTGTGTGTGTGATCGGATGTTGTTTATACGTCTCTACAGTTTTCATCTGATTTCGATGATTTTTTTGTTTGTTTGTTAGATAATTCTCAGTGCCGGTTTTGAGTCCTAATTGGCTGGAAAAAATTACAACCTTGAAGGTGACAAATCGAAAAAACTGATTTTTTATACTTTGCACAAAAATCAAAGCAAAATTTAATGTCTGTAAAAAACAGCATACAATCAATTTAGTGTGTTGAAATCCATCGCAACAGATTACTAGAATTATATATGTTATAAATAAAACTTATATATTATTATTAGGACGGTCCATGGAAGAAGTTCCTTCCTTGCAAGATTGAGAACGCAAAAACGGCCAGTTTCAGGGCCACTCCGCATTGAAATTGTTACCCCCGCCATTTGGGGTTGTGCCTCAGTTGCATCCAATTGTTATTAATATTGATTTTCGGGTGGGCTGACTTTAAAATTAAACTGCTCCAACTGATCGGCAAAAATCCCCATTAATGAAACACCCGGTCGAAGACGAGTTATACTGCTAGCGAGTTAATCAGTAAGAATTCTATCACTAAATTATTACCTCCCCTCCACAAAAATTCTTACAATCTAAAAATATTTTCTGACTTTAAATAACTTGCCAAGGGTTAATAAGCCGTAGAAAACGAATCAATAAAAAAAAACGACTATATTAATTATAAAGAGTCAGAATGTATGATTATTAGCAAGAGAGACTGCGAGAGATATGAAGTAAGACTAAAAAGACATCAGAATCAAGGATGGAGAGAAATTTGTGTATCTTGGCGGTGTAGTAACAGACAATCGAAATCGTGACACAGAGATCTGAAGACGTATAAGAATAGGGAAAGATGCCTTTCAGAAAGTATTATAAAGCATGAAAAGGTTATTAGAAGCAAAGAGTGCTGGAATGCTAAGTCCGATATATCCTCGTGTATGCCAGTAAATGCTGTACAATTTCCTTTCAGATGAAGGAGACTTGATGTGACAAAGATGTGGTCCCATGCATGACTACTGAGAATACCATAGACTGACTATGTGAGCAGTAAGGAAGCTCTAAAGGAAAGAGGAACTAGAAGGATACTTCCCTAGTTGCTCTTGCAAAAGTACACATACTCAGGATAGAAGGGGTAGGGGAAAATGATTGTTGGTTGGTTGTTTTTGTTTAGCGGCATATCAACACCTCTCTGGGTTATTTAATGCCGGAATGCAAACTTTCTAATTAATTCCAAGGAATGACATTATTTCAGGATTAAATCATAATTACTTACACTATTTACATTATTCGGACTATTGTCCTTATCTTTGTCACCATATTTATTACAACGTTTCGGCCGTTGTACGCCCCGGCCTTCTTCAGGTGATTGGAATGTCGAACTGAACCCTTTATTTCATTCAAAGAAAACTTCTACTTAACATCAAGAAGAGACATTTGAAATCTCTGGGGACACGTAATGAAGAAGGGGGCCATAATACTCAGGGGACAAGTTGAGGGCAATCTGGGAAATATTTTAACATAGAACGGGAATATTTCTGAGATGAGGTATTATGTACACTATTTACATTGTCGTCATATTTATCACAATGTTTATCCACTGTGCCATGTGTCCTCAAGGACACATGGCACAGTGGATAAAGACGTTGGTCAGATCCAGTGACAAGACACAAAGAGTGTGAGTTCAATACCTGGTTAAGGCGGTGGAGAACTTGGAGAGGGGAGTTAACAGGAGATATTTGATAACTGACATCCATTAGACATGACACGTGGAACTAGAACAGTCTACCCCCAGCGAGCGAAATAAAGGGTTCAGTTCGACATTCCAATCACCTGAAGAAGGCCGGAGCGTACAACAGCCGAAAAGTTGTAATAAATATGCCGACAAAGATGA